GTTAATGTTATCACATTTCTCTTTGTTACGTTGACTTTGCATTATGAATGCATCTATTCCAAGTTGTGTCCAAAAGAAACACTTAATTTTTGATGAATATATTTACTTCATGGAATTTCGCTCTAGCTTTTACTTCTGAAGAGCCTCTGTTAACAACAACAAAACTGTTATAAAGGTTACAACACAAATGTACAGTCCTTTAGATTCACAATGTACTGAGTTGCCAATAGTTGTTGAGATATTTCAGTGTAGACAAAAGTGGTGGATCAACCAGCAAACTGACAACCCTGCACTGACATTCAACATGATCTCTGGTTCTGTTTGTTTCCTGTCTCTTGTCATCTCCAGTAAGTCCTTAAAACCACAGACTGTGGCACTAAGTCTAAATATCTGAAAAAAAGAGGCCTGAGAAACAAGTTCTCCTTGTTACATGCCCGCCTCCTGGTGGTTCGTGTGTGGTGTTACACACCCCTCTTTTGCTGTAGGGCCCTTGGCTCAGTGGGGACATTACAGTTCTGAACGGTATGGTACAGCCTGCTGCATTGACTGGCAAACAAAATAAATGATAACTAAAAGTATACAGTGGTGTGAAAAAGTGTTTGCCCCCTTACTGATTTATCTTTTTGCATGTTTGTCACACTGTAATGTTTCAGATCGTCAAACAAATTTATATATTAGTCAAAGATAACACAAGTAAACACATCATGCAGTTTTTAAATGAAGGTTTTTATTATTAAGGGAAAACAAAATCCAAAACAAAATGATGCGTGTCCTGGAGGCTTGAATGTGTCTAAGGATGTTTTGTCCTTGTCTCCTCTGTAATCCACTGTAACAGGGACATAAAATGGACAACCAAGGTTCTGACCTTGATTTTGGCTTGATTAGATCTTGGTAGATTAACAGTGAAGGGAACTGGCTCTGTAAAGGAAAAGCATTTCACAGGACTTGTTCAAAACAAACAGTCCAGGAGACGAGAGGAAAATAGGAAGTTGTCCTGTTTTTGTTTTTGTTTGCTTGTTTGTTTTTATAATAAAAATATCCAAGTGAAAAACTGGGAAAGTTGGATTTCTAAAGTAGCTCACAGATGTTTGAAGCTCCTATGATACAATAAACAAATCTTTCTAAATGATGTATTAAATATTTTTAATGCATGTGAGAGAAGACGTGAGATTAAGAAAACTTTTATGTCTTTTTGATGTTTGTTTTTTATGTCTTTGTGGTCATTTTGCATTGTTTTGCTATCAGTTTGTGTCTATTGCGCACCTTCTGTTGGCATAATCCCTGTAGTTTACGCAGTGAAAGATTGTATATGAGGAGTTGGGGGGACTGATTGACAGAAAATTAATCAAATTGATTTGCTGAGTAGTTAATTCATTTTGTAAGCCAAAAAATCTATCTCTAGTCTCAGCCTGTCATATGTTAATATTTGCTGCTTTTCTTAGACTTTCATGATAAACTAAACAATGCCAAGCTTTTTTCAGTTTTGGACTGTTGATCATCACAGAAAGGCATTTTTGGATACCAGTTAATCTATTAATTAATAAAATAACTGGCATATTAATTGATAATGGACATAATACACACCCAAAAATAACCTTTACATGAATAACCATGGTTCCTGAAACTAGCAGGGTAATCACATACTTAAATCTAAGTTGTTTGACAGAAGGTGCATGTCTGAAAGGGGCAAGAGTAAGCACCATGAGGACTTCACCTTGGGCTCAGAGAGCCTGTGGTGGATGTAAGCCTGTTTAGTGTTGAATGAAAAAAAATGACCAATTAATAAATAATGAGTCATCTACCAAATAATAAATAATGAGTCATCATTAGTTGCTGCCCTAGAATTTCATCTCAGAGGTCAGGTTACCAGGAGATACCTGTAGCTTTACCTCAGACAGCACGAGCTCTTCAGTTGGCAATGTATGCAACAGTAAACACTGTGATACAGTAAACTACTGTTAATTAAACATCTACAGATGCTTCATGTCCTTCAGTGGCACTGCTATGTGAGAACAGCACTAAATAGTTTTTACCTTGTGGGTAAACCAGAGTTTGATAAATGGGGTCAATCAGGTGGGAAATAAAAATGTGTCTCATCTTGCAGTAATCATCTTTACATTATTATTGTTGTATAGACCCCCCATGAGTGCCCTCAATGAGGAGGAATATCTTAACAGGTTGCCATTTATTATGTCATTTATCCAGGATAATGGATCTACCTGTGTGTATGTTGTTGGAGACTTGAAAGCTGATGTTGGTGACACTCATTCAGTGTTTGGAAACCATGTAATGCAGCTCTTGCCTGAAAATAGTTTCACTTACAGTATATTAGTGAAGCTTGGCTTGATCACTGTATCTGTAAGGCATGCTGATATGGATTCTATTGAGATCGATTATGATCAATTATATACCTGTGAGTATAGTCTAAGTTCCTACTTATGTCAACGCTCCTTAAATTAACCTTCATAAAAGAAACAATTGTACAGATATTAACAAAGCAAAATCAGTTTCCAAACCACAAAAGTAGTCCCTTCTATAACCTAAATATGAGTGATATTTAACAAGTAAAAACATTAAACAATGTGTTTGATGCCAACCTGATGGTGTATTGTGGTGTTTTCTTTGCCTTTTATATCTGGTCTTATACTGTCTTATACTTATACTGTCTACTCAAGGCTGAATAGGACTGGACTGAAGTGGCACATTTTCTGAGGTTAGCAACTTTGTATACACAAAGAGTTATGTTTTTTGGTAAGTCTTTCCACACTTTGTACACCCAAATGCATGAAAGTACATACAGTATGTGGGTGCACAATGCATGACTTTGGGATTTATAGTATACTGTATATTCAAATAGGGCATAACATTGTGAGCATTAGGAAATGCCTATATAAAAACATTGCTGACTCTTGTCAAAGGTTAAAAAAGGGTTTTGAAAGGGGAAACCAGCGCTTCCTTTGAGGTTCCTACTGTTGAGGGATTAACATAACATATCTATACTTGGGTTTCGCCTTATTGAATGAAGGACGCCTGAAAATATAGAAGAAATATTTACATATTTTCTTATTTATCAGAATGGAAAACACATTAATCTAAAAGTGCAGCTTGACCATTTACTGTAAGTGAAGTTACTTTGGCATTGTGAAAGCCACAAGTGCAGCTGTTTCCTTTGTTATGATCATTTGTCCTCTCCGATGCAGAGCACATTTTTCTATCTGCAGGCATAATAATAAAAAGTTGTTTTACAGAACTGAGAAACATTAACTGAACAATGTTATAAAAGCAATGTAATAGATTCAGTGCTAGATTCAGCCATATTCTGTGCTAAACTAGTCAAATTTACATTATGATAAACAGTTAGCTGGTCTGTATCATGCAGGTGTCTTAGTGGGTTTCAAGAGTTAGCATCAGGTGTACTAAATGACATTAAAACGACAGCAAACATACAGTACAATGGTGTTAACAAATGAGAAAGTCACTGTCACTGTCAGGTATTTCTGTCTGAAATGTAACTAATGATCTCCCTGGTGCCTTTCACGATGAACTGACAGAGAATGCTGTGGTTTCTGAACAGATCGTCACAGGGACAACTAAACCAAAGTCTCGGTGGAAAAGATTTCGCCACTTTCTGGGGTTGAGGAAACCACAGAAGTGGAAGAAATAAACCCAGCTTCTCCCAACAGCAGATATTACATTTGAACAACTGGACAAGTAATCTGCTGTTAAAACTTTCTAAACAAATGAACCAATTAGGCCAGATGTTTTACTAAATTACATGACAGGCTGTCAGACATGTACTGACACCCCTGTCATGTAACTTGGTAAAGAAAACAAATTAACCAAAGCGGCACAGTGGCGCAGTGGTTAGCACTGTTGCCTCACAGCCCCAGCCAACCCGGGGTCTTTATGTGTGGAGTCTGCATGTTCTCCCTGTGTCTCCATGGGTTTTCTCCGGGCGCTCCGGTTTCTCCCAAACTCCAAAGACATGCAGCTTAGGTTGATTGGCGACTCTAAATTGGCCCCAAGTGTGAGTGAGTGTGAGTGTTTATACCCTATTCAAGAATAATTGTATATTATAATAATATTATTATGATATTATATTATATTATCAATACATTCTGTAATTATATAATAGAAAGAAAGCGCCTTAACCACTAGCCTACCAGGGAGGCATAAAGAAAGAAATTGTATAATA